ACACGGTGGCCACATTCATTAGTGCCAACATCCATCACTTAATTCACTCCTGCTCTTTTATCTTCTAGTGAAACATATGAACAGGTAAAATGAGTCAGCATAAAATTCAGTTTAATAAATCTAAGTGACATCTCCGGTCCTTGGCTCGCCTTCTGCGTCTGCGTCAACGGGATTTCTATTCAATACTACTGCGCATCTTACTATCATTTCTCCCACAGAAGCTGACCTATTGTGCTACAACCCTGGACTGTTTATCGAGGCCGTATACTTCTGCTCTTAATGACACCTTTGGATCCCGCTATCTCAACCCAGACAGTGGCTACGCAGATCTCTTCCCATGGCTATTCGTTGTCGCAGATGTACCCGTGCCAAATGCGGTGCAAATACCCTTACTGCTTTCGAATATCCGACCTTCACGTTTTTACGGTGCGACTACCATGTTCAACGTCGCGGTATTTCTGAGATGTCGCGTTCACTAGTAGTCTTGGACGCTTACTCAGATAGCACATTCCAGTAGGTCCTAGTTGAATACCTTGACATAATCAGACGGGAAATCAAACCCGCGACGACATCGGACGCCTTGTTCATCATGTCCGAAAGGCCGGCCTCCCCCCGTCCCTGTTTACACAGCCTCACAGTTTGCGCCTATTATCTTACTGCGGCTAGGACCGAGTTAGAGCCCATACTGCTAATGGGCAGCATCTGTGAATCGGAAAGCCCTTGGACCTAACATACTGATGGTTAGAGCTTCCCTGTCACTAATTGAATGAGCTTACTTTTTGTTTGTTTGCCCTCAGTAAGGTTTTGGCATTTTTGTGTAACACACAATTCATAAAGTGCAAGAAAAACCATGGGTGAGGTGGCAATCGCCACCGAGCGTAATACATCAGTCCGCATCTGAACTTAAATACCTAACCGAACTGTTACGATTGGGTATGCAAGGAGCTGAAGTGTGGCACTCACTAACTGCGTCACGACAGAGCATCGAGGACATGGTGCAGTGGTGCAGTGGTCAGACAATTCAACTTCCATTTACCGGGCAGCTGCTTGTGGGCTTACGGTTTACAAAACTTGGATTTGGGTTAGGACAGACAGATGACAGGTAAACAACCAGAAGAATATAGTGCCGTTTCTGTCGTCTTTTTCAGTACTATTCTTCTGCGTATACAATGTTCAGAAGGTCTCTGAACTTGCTGACAGCCAACGGTTCATAAGATTCCTTTCCCGCTAATGGCTCTTCGACTATATTCCAATATTTTGTAGTATATGTGGCGATGGTGTAATGCACCTTGTCGCTCGGCAGAGCCACAATGTTATTCATTTTTCCTACTCCCAGAGGTGCTCGATCATCTGCTTCGGATTTCCTCTTCTGGCATTTGCGTTGCAAAAGTATAGATGACATCCGTTGATGCATGACATTTTTTGTACTCCTCCAGTGTCTCGAACTATTGCGGCGCGGACAGCTGGTTTAGACCATTTGCGCAATGTGTTTACACGTATGTCAATGTGCTTTAGTCACGTTTTTTTGATTTTCTTTCCCAAAAACTTGCTGTACTGTCTTGCGAGCA